GCCCGCGAGAGCCCATGGAGCCGGACCCCGGGATGCATTGGCTTTGCGCCCTCAACCCTAAGACAACGTTTAAGTTAAGTGGAAGCCCTAAATCCTAAACTGTATGTATCTGAGGCCACTCCTTTCTTCGGTGGGCCGTTCCCGGCGGGCAGGCTGCCCAAAGCCTGGTTTCCATGGGCAACGAAGCCGAAGAGGGCAGAGTATGTGCCTCCGAGAGTTCTCCCATTTGGCTTCGTTCAGCCGGGACGGCAGCCTCCGAAGCCGAAGCCCAAGGTCGGTGCAATTTGATAGCACGGGTTTAGTTTGATTCATAAATCAAATTAAACCTTAAAGCTTGGGGTTGAGGGGTTTAGGGTCCCGGGTCCGCGGTAACACGGGGTTTATTTCTTCCCGTGCAGGCGGCTCGCGACACCTGGCTTCGCATGGTGAAGCCCAAGGCTCCTGAGCCTGTGGTGGCTGCCACTCGATTAAGTACAATGTTCTTTTGCTCATTTTAAAAAAGTTAAATAAATCCTCTTTAATCATAAATCAAGTTCCAAGGCAAAGGCCAAGGCGGTGCTGCTGCAGCCGAGGCCGAAGTTCCCGCCTGGCTTCCGGAGCTTTGGGGCTGAGGCTGCGGAGGTTACGCCGACCGAAGTCGGGTCGCCGACGACGCCGCCGGCAGAGGCTAATCTAATCCTTGCAAGAGTTTATTCGTTTGAACTTGAGTGGTGGATTATTCAAGCCAGGGTATACCTTTATTTAATTAAGGGGTTCACGCTTTGGCCTGGTTTTGGGGTTTAACGGCTTGTAAGGCTTCTTTCTGTTGGGCGGTCTGAGCCGGGGCTTCGCGCAGGTGGCTTCGGCTTCATCTGGTTCTGCTGGCGCTGGGGCTGGCATGGCTATGGCAGATGAGACGGCAGCACCAAGGCCCAAATAGTTACCCTTAGATTCCGGAGGATTTCAGAAGCCGGAGGACAAGGAAAACTCCCCAACAAAAGCCCGACCATCAGCCGAGGACGGACCAGCCGGAGCTGATGACGGCCAGGAGTTGGAAGCTTCCCTCGTGTCTAGGTTTTACTCTTATCCTGGCAGGTTTCCAATAGAAACCTTTAACCCAACAGAGCCCCATAGCATCCAAGGCTGAGGAGCCTGTGGGCAATGGTGGCGGTGGCAATGACGATGAAGCATCCGCCGTGTCTAGGTTTTGTTCTTGGCATAAAAGGTGTTTGGTATAATGGGTGCCTTAGACACTAAGCTCTAAGCCCTAAACCCAGCAACCCCGACGATAGCACGCGAGGCCGCCCCAGCTGTGCCAGATGGTGGCGAGGACAATGCGTCATCCGTGTCTAGGTTCATTTCTTGGCATAGTTTCTGCCACAACCGGTTTGCCCTAAAGACTTAAATGTCTTCGTCTTCAACCGAAAAGCAACAGTGACCCTGATCGCATCCAAGGATCAGCAGGGGCCTGGGCCGGGACAGAGCTCCAACAGCAGCTCCACTGCCAGACGGCGGCGCCTGAGGAGGAAGAAGAAAGAGGAGAAGAAAAGGAAAAAGGAATTGGAGGAGGAGAGGAGGAGGGTGAGGGAGGAGGAAAAGAAGGAGGAGGCGCGGAGGAGGCGTCGGGAGGCCGCGCAGGCTCGGGCTCAGCACAAGAGAGAGCTGGAGCTGGCGCGTGCCTCCCGGCCCATGATCTTCGTTGAGAACGAGAGCAGCCTTGGCGACCTCGTTCGGCGGGATCGGGAATGAAAAAGAGGTGCGAAGCATTCCTGTTATCCTCACAGAATTCCCTAAACCCCAAACCCTAAACCCCTAAACCCTAAACCCTGGCCCCGATGGGATAGAGTGGTCTTGGGAGGAGTGCAGCTTTAAACTTAGAGATTGTGAGGTTCGAGAATTCCACCGGCCAGGTCGAGCATCCATTTGCAAACCGCCTGGTGTGTCCCTCAGAACTTGGCCTGCCTTCAGCTTCTGCATGCTGCTACAGAATAGGCGTCAACAGAGTTCATTGTCATGTTCCTGGCCAAACGATTCCTCGCATGGTTCCTTCAGCACGCTTGGCCTAGGTTCTGATATGATGCTCGGCTGAGTGATGCAGGTCCGACTTTTGCGTTGGCGCAGCATGATTCGAATTCTATTTGCCGGGAGACAGTGTGACTCACATTGAAATTTGGAAGGCTTTGCAGGGTGGGGCACGGTTGCCTATCATCACATGTACGTTAATGAGTCCAAACTTTGGACTCATTAATTCGACCCATTCATTTCATGCCTGCCAAGTGGCGGCCATGAAATTGAGTAAATTCCAGATCTGATATACCTGTAGCTTTTCACCCTGAAAGTATCAATGGCTTTGCCATTGCTGGAAAGAGTTCGGTCCCAAACCCTGAGCCCTTGAATCCAATAGCTTTAAAAGCTATTGGATTCAAGGGCCCCAGTAATCATTGTTATATAAAGAAAACACAAACAGGTGCTATGCTAGCCTAGGGCAAGAAGATGTGGTTCAGTTTCTATTACATGCCCGGGTTTTGATGCAGATTGCAACCCTCGACTTCCCGAAAGTAGCTCGGAGCCCCACCTGTGCATGGCACTGCTGCAGGCCGGAGGCCTGTCACTGTGGCAGCTACTGTTCAGGCAGTCCAGGGGTCAGGAGTTTCCAGGTGTTTATCTTGATGTGGTTTTGAACATCTTTCACACGGGTATCTACTGCTTGCTCCAAAGTGGATGACCAGTGGAATGTATTGAATGTACCTTGCCAATAAGAACGGGTTTCAGAAGTATGTTTACTTTCAAGCGTGTAACTTTACCAATGGTTTCGGTTTTACCAATGCTTTACCAATGCTTAAGCGTTGGTTTGAACTACATAGACTGGCTGGTAGTTGGTACATTGGCTGGTAGTTGGCTTGGATGTAAGAGATTGAGATCCTTTGCGGGTCGCAGGCAAACGTACTGCACGCTAGCCTAGCATCTAGACTTAACTCACATATACACCCTGAGTAGCCAAGCTAGGCTGCCATACATCAGCAGGATGAAAGTTTTGTTGCTAAGATATTGTGGGGCTTCAGGAGTCCTGCATTTCTGTACTTAGCTACTTCCCGCCGGTTTTGAAAAAAAAAGTAAAGCCGATGACTGAGTTTTCGAGTTCACATTTAGGAGAGGGTTCAAGGGGTTTAGGCCTTAACTTGTCAATCAAGGGTGAAAGGCCAGGAAGTAAGGGTTTGCTGTCATAGTTACGGATTCGCGGGTATTGCTTTTTGTCGGTTTCAGTGGCTGGGCCTTGAACTCAGGGCTTCGTATCAGTTTACTTAGTCTCGTAAACAAGATGGCAGCAACTCAACTGATTCAAAACAAAACTGCTCTCAGGATTCTTGATGGAATTGCTGGTGGGGCGTCGGAAGGCTATCACTCTGCAATTGCATTCCGTTCGCATGCAGTTGCCGCAGCCTGGATGACCAAGGACTGAAATCGCAGGCCTGGCATGTGCACGACGATAAGGTTTGGATTAGATTTGGTTGACGTGTGCACCATGACACGGTTTGGATAAGATTTGCTTGGCATGTGCGCGATGACACCGCTTGGATAAGATTTGCTTGGCATCTAGACGAGAACTTGCTTGTTGTCGTCGACATGCTCATTCACCGGATAATTAATACTGCTTGGACAATGGTAATTGATGTCTGGCTGCATTGGTGCCCGATAATTACGTGCGCTATGAGGTATTATTGACTGCTTGGCATTGACAACTTCAACAACTCGAACGCTCGAACAATGCCCTCGCCTCTACTTGAAATTGGCCTTGATCATGTGAACCCTCGCCTCCAGAACTTGGGCGACCTCCCTGTTGGCTGGGTACGGCTTCTTTAATGTATGGTCCATAAGTTTAACTTAACTCTCGGCCTCTAGAAGAAGAGACTGCCTCCCAGTTAAGTCTCAAGGTCCACTGCAGCGTGCGGAAGCTTACGAGGAGACGGGATCGGGGTGTCAACCTGCACTTTTTCAAATCGCGCGCCTGGCATTGAAGTCGTCTTAATTTGAACTTGCAATTGCATTGACGATCGTAGTTGCCCCGCCTGTGGCAGTGCTCTCAGGCTAATAATAATTGGTATATTTACATATGGTTCTTTGTCTTGAGCTTTGCTGCTTGTTGCTTGGACTTGGCCTTATCCTTGCCATTCACAAACCGGCCTAGAAGCTTGGATACGTGCTTGCAGCTCCAGACCTTTCCTTTATTATGGCCTGAGCGTACACACCACTGTTTTGGACGACGTTTCTTCAACTTCTTGGCTAGCTCGCTGACATTGATATTCTTCTCTTTGCTCGCATTCTTGATGACCTCGTAGAGTTCAGGGTCGTTCTGGAAGGAATTGCTGGGACCACCGAGCTTCGCATTGCCGTCTAGACTCCTCTCGCCATGGCCATCAGCCTGAATAAGCTGTAGTTTCTTTTCACGTCCTGAGCTAAGCCTTTCGCGCACTTGGGCACCAGTGAACTCGTGTACAGCGCCAAGAACTTGTCTGGGCAATTTGGCTGCCGGAGAGGTTGCATCCATCGGGGCACTGTTGTCTGTAGTTTCCACTCTCAAATGAAGCTCCCGCAGCCACTGCAGGCCAGTCTCCTGGACTAGAAGATCACGTGCAAATCTGTCCCCAGACTCCACGACAATGATTGAGACATTAGTGGATCGCTGACAGTAGTTCACCATACTGGAGAACCCTTGCCGCATAAACAAGGCATCAGTCCCTGACACACACGGATCAGAGAACCTTCCCATGACCTCGTATCCACGTCGCTCAGCATGTGCTAGACACACCCGTATTTGGCGAGACTCCGAATCTTTGTCATTACCAACGTTCGCTGCTGAAGAAGTTCGTGTGTACACCACACATTTTGGCCGATGTTTCTTGGAAGGCCTAGGTGCCATTGCCAGCTCACTCAAGCATTAAATCTAATTAAGTTTCTGATAGCTGGACACACACTCAGTTCTTAAGCCTTGCACTGCTGGGGCTGCCTTGCTTCTGATTCCAATGGCTCCCGCTCTCAGTCGAGCCCTCAAGTTGAGTGGAGATGCGGCGGCCAGCTCAAAGTCTCAGGACAGCAAGGGTTCAATGTCAAACGTGCATATTGGAGTACTCCAAAAACTTTCGCATTCTTCACTGCAACTCACACTCTAGGCTATAGGGACGGCTCTCAGCTAACATGTTCAGGATTTCTCCGGTGTCTTGCCAGAAGCTCTTTTAATCTTCTAACCCAAGCCCTTCCCGATAAAATCCGCTCCTCAGGATCATGACCAGCAGTGTTCTTGCGGGAACTTGGCCTCCTGCCCGGCATGCTTCGTGGGTTCTCGTAAGTTCGAAGAGTTGCAGATCGACTTCCCCTGGCTGGTCTGCGAGTTCGATCCGGACTTTCGTATTGGTTGCAAGCTCTGCCATGCTTTGAAAAGCCGTGGACGTGCACAGGGAGTTTGGGAGCCGAGACGGCAAGACTTTGTGCTCTCAAGCAGCACGAATTTGAAAGCGCTGAGGGCCAGCACTCTGAAAAGGCATGAGCAGTCTGCCTACCACAAGCAGGCGCTGGAGCTGCATGGGACTGGTGTGGTTGAGGCAAAATCCCATCCGCCTGCTGCGGAGTTCACGGAACTCGTCCGCGTGATTAAGGTCGAGAAGAAGCTCTGTTTCGGCAGAAGCGGAGTTAGCGGCATAGGGTGGCAAAAGAAGTGCCGCCAGATGGTCTGGTGTTTGGGAGAAGCTTCTCGGGAGGAGAAGCGGGCCATGTGGTCACGCGGCAAAGACGAGAAGTTTCTAGTTTCAACGACCCTCATGCAAGACTGCCGTTCATGAAAGCTTCGTGTTCGCTACAGGGCTGCGAACTCACGCCTGGAAATCCGAAGTGGGTATCTGGGCACCGTCAACGTTGCGCATGACTTTTCCTTGGACTCTGCCGGGTTACAGGCTGCCACTATGAAGGTTTTGGAGAACTTTGCAACAAGTAGGCTCAGTGTTGCATATCCGACGCGCGCGGCTGGGCAAGCCTCTGCTGACCAAGAGCTGCTCAGTTGCCTTGTGAATTCCGTGGAAGCTTTTGTGGCAGACGCTGCCTCAGACGAGATTAAATGTGGTCGCTTGTTGGCAGGGCACGGCGGTTTGAGGCCAGGAATGAACATGCCAAACATTCACCTGGTCATCAGAGACAAAGCTCATGCGAGCCGACGGAATCTGTCCCGGGGATGGACAGCAGATCCACACTTGTCCAAGATAGCCGATGCTTTTGTCATGGGCCATCAGTCGCCAGCAAAGCTCATTGAATACAGCAAAGCCTTTTCTGGGATTTTCCAGCAACGAATCCAGCAGCTAGAACAGAGCCTGCAAGCTTGCAAAGCCCACCCACGCATGCAAGACCTTTCCTATGCGCCGCATCGGTTTGACAGCTGCACCAGGCCATTTGGCAGAGCAGTCCTTTTCTTACATCCTCTCTTGCTCACTATGGTGCAGATCACGGAGGATAGAAAGGGCACCGACGAGGCCTCTGCCGCTGCAAAATTTCTCGATTGGGTCACCCCTGAGTTGTGCTTGCAAATGGCCATGATGGCCGATGCGGCTGAAGAGAACTTGCAGATGACACGTTTCTTTGACGTAGAAAACTTTGCGTTGGAGGACATGTCTTTCGTTATCTCAAGCTTCCAAGACAGACTTGATGCACTGTTCACTGGTGATGTGCCTGGAACCCCCAATGCCAAGACTGCGGCATGTCTCACCGTGCCGACGGGATACACATCCCACATGCTCCAGCTGCTGCGCCATCCCTTTATGCTGAGGGGACGCAGCTTCGGGAAAGAAGCTGGTGTGCCGGCTGCTGCAGTGAGACGATGCCTTGGCAGGATGTGCAACTGGTTCTTGGTCGTGAAGGAGACCTTGGCTGCAGAATTTCCGAACTTTGAGACTATTCAATGCTTCGGTGTCTTCCGATGCGTGCCAAGTGGCACCCTGCGCAAAAGTGCACCCTCTAGTCTGGAGGCAGCTGGTCTGCTTGCGAAGCTGCATGCGGTGTACAAGATGCAGGTTCCGTTGCAGAGCATGCAGGATGAGTTTTTCAAGTCTCGCCATGTCGCGGAGCTGTGCGAGAGTTGAGAGTCTCGACGCAGGACCGGGGGTGTAAAGAGACTAATGCAGCACAATACTTAAACTAACCAGTGGTTTTGGGGTTCCTTTGGCTCTTTAAGCTCCTTATTTAATAGGGATTATCATCATCCCTGGCTCCTTAGCTCCTCCAACACCAATGGATAGTAAAATTAACCCTCGATGTCTCGGGTATCGTCGGTGTGGAGCGCTGCTTTAGTATTTTCGACAGGAGAAGCTTGGAGAAGGGCCATGCAGCTTTTCAGGGCTTCGCGTATGGGCAAACCGAATGCACTCCTTGCAGGCCTGATTCGGTTCTGGGCAGTGTGCGCCTCCACGTCTGGAGTCGAGCAATCTTTCTCCCAAGCCAAGAGCATTCATGAGTCTCTTTCAGACAACCATCTGAATGATATCCTTGACGTGGTGGACATCCCAGATTCAGATTTGACCGCCGTTGTTGCTAGGGCGTGTGCCCTGTGGAGCGAAACATACGGGCAACCGCGAGCTTCTGGCAAAGGAAAGAGAACTGTCCGCGTGGACTCTGGATCATGCCGAATCACGACTCCCAGCGGTGGCACAGGGCCTGCCACGTCGGAGAAACAATGGCTACGGAAGCGCCGGCACGATGTCAGTGAGGCAGTGGGTGCCGTGAGCTCAAGCTCAATGGGCAGATACGATCTTGGCGTGGACCTTTGGCACGAAGGTCACGAGAAAGAGGCAGGAAGTCATTAAGAGGTGTTTGCACCCAGCCAGTCAGGTTCAGTCAGGAACACCGTAAAGGGTTGATCCCATAGCAAATATTGCTGAGTGCATTTGCTGTCTACTATTAGTCAGTAAGTGGTTTGAGCCTACTGTTGCAGTGATTGTGCTGTCAGTGCCAGTCGTGAGCTGCAGGTGGCATTCGTGAAATCGAAGCGGATGAAGAAGATGGCTGAGGAGGTCCTGGCCGGCCGAACCGATCTCCTGGAGCATGCAACAACACATGAGCTTTCCGAAATTGCTTCCGTCTTGGAGAAGCAGAAGGGCCTGGATACTGCTGCAGTGCGGAAAAGAGACCGGGAATCCAGTTTGCGCCAGAGGCGTGAGGAAGATCCACGCCCCAGTGCACTCATTGTGCAGGACGTTTTGAATCCACCGTTTCAGATCCACTGGCAAGCAGTGCTTGAGGGCAAGGCCTTAGCCACCAACGTGGCCAGCGGCCCGACCATTGCATTCCAGCCAGCGACTCAGACCCAACGGGTCATCTGGCTGACCGATCGTTTCGTCCAGGACAACATCGAGATTGCCAGACTTGTTGCTGCAGAATGCCAGAAGCGTGGAAACAAATGGAGCCTGGGTAAGGATAGGCAGCATTTCCTGGACAGAGCTGCAAGAGTCAAGTCCCAGGCTGTGCTTTTGCTCGCGGATCATGAGAAGCATTTCGAGGCAACTCGCAACAGCAAGTCTTTAACTGTTATTGCGAAACCCTTAGTAGACACTCAACCGGGTTTTCGTGAAGACGATGATGGTCTCAGGTATGGCAAGCAGTGGCTCAGAAATTCAATGCAGAAGAGGCTTTGGCCTTCTTTCAAAAGCTAGACCCTGCACGTGTGCGCTTGAATGCGTGCGGCCTTTAAATTATTAAATAGCAGCCGTGTTCTGTGTCATGGGCAGGTGTCAGATCAACGGACCTCAGCATATCTGTTTTCCTGCTGTGCGTCCGGATCAAACTGTTAACAATTCAACGTGACGTTGTATGCAGCCGAGCAGTCCAAGCAAACGGATCATTGTCGGTGAGATGCCAAGAGTAACTTTTAACAGGGTTAGCCTTAGGATGCAGTGTTTAAACTCAGAACCCTCGACTCGCTCGGCGCTGGCCAGTGCAACGGCTTGATAGGGGTCGCCTAGCGATGACAGCGTGTGCCAGACACGCGGTTCAAAAGATTGACCTTGTTGAATAAGCCCAAGCCTTCACAGCAAATATGGGTTTAGATACATTAAATGATTTGAATACTAAATTGCCATAACAGTTCTCGTGAGGCCTCTGGCTTCAAAGTTTAAATACATCGTGAGAAAGCTAGCAAACGGAAACCAGCCACAAAGTAAGTTGCCATGGCCGTTGTCGCAGGAGATTCAGCACATTGCTTCCAACATCTGCACCGGGCCAAGTTTGAACGTAGTGTCGATTGGGCGTGTGTCACTTCAGTTGGTATTCAGGTCTCACTGCTTCACTCTGATTGTTACGAGATTCAGCGCATTTTTCTGTAGTTGGTGTGAGGCCGGGCCAGGGGCCAGGATGGAGAGCATATTGATGGGGTCAGGAATGATTATTATGAGCATGGTGATTGAATTCTGACAATTCGTCTTAGATCTTGGTTCGGTTAGGTCTGAGACGAGCAGGAGCAGGCCCAGGCTCAGGCTCAGGCTCAGGCCCGCGATATATAGATTCTAAACACTACAAGTGTAGGAAAATTTGAGGGCCTGGGTCGGCGACCCGGACTGATTTTTTTTGTTGTTGTTGTTGTCGTTGTGGTTGTGGTTGTGGTTGTGGTTGTGGTTGTGGTTGTGGTTGTGGTTGTTGTTGTTGTTGCTGCTGTTGTTGAGCTCTCTCTCTCTCTCTCTCTCTCTCTCTCTCTCTCTCTCTCTCTCTCTCTGACACACTGTGCGGTTGTGCAGGTGAACGAAGTTTGCGCGTATGTGTTGTTGTTGTTGCTTGTGATCTTTTGCTTATGCACTTTTGTGCTTCTGCTCTTTTGCTTATGCTCCTTTGCTTATGCTCTTTTTTGCTTATGCTCTTTTGCTTACGCTCTTTTCTGCTTATGCTCTTTTGCTTATTATGCTCTTTTGCTTATGCTCTTTTGTGCTTATGCTGTTTTGCTTATGCTCTTTCGTGCCCTGCTTATGCTCTCCGGGGTTTGTAACCTTAGGCTAGAATGAACTCATAAATATGGAATTATTGCCATTGCAAAACAACCGAGATATATCCCAAAAGATCCAGCGGATCTTTTGGAAGCGACATTAAGAGCAGGCGCCACGCGCCGGCTGTTATTTCAGAGCTGGGCGCCCAGCTCCGAAATAAGAGCCGGCGCGTGGCGCTAACTTAGCAAAACCGGCCGTCAGCGATCATCGCTGATCAGACCTTTTTGCTCTCAGGCGCCCCGCGCCGATCCTTATTTCGGAGCTGGGCGCCCAGCTCCGAAATAACAGCCGGCGCTGTGCACCGGCCCTTATTTCGCTCAGTAGAACGGCGGATTGCAGGATTTGTTTGCTTAAGGGTTTTGGGCTTCTCTGTTGTACAAGTCTTAGAGACATGGGGGAGTCACAGTCGCTGGCACTGGCAGACATTCTCAAATCCACTTGACCAGAGCCGCTCCATCTTGAAATCCCTTTGCGTCGGTAGTTTGGACTCGTCACTCATGCCCTGGGTCGGCCCCTTCTTCGTGCAGCCTGGGAGCGAGGTGCGAGTGCCGGTGCGGCCGATCTCGGTAGTACAGCCTGAGCCCGATGATGCTGACGAAGAGAACTTGAACACCCTTCCTGCTCTTCCTGACACTGAGACTGAGGAGGACAAGGATAATAACTCTCCCAAGCCGATTCTGGGTGGACGTGGACGTGGCCGTGGTGGGCGTGGCCGTGGTGGGCGTGGCCGTGGTGGTTCATTGAAGAAGCCAGCTGCGTCATTGAAGAAGCCAGCTGCGTCAAATCGAATGAAGAGACCAGCTGCCGTGATGAGAAGGCCCTCAGCTGCGGATGGCAGCGCTACGACCGTGGTAAGCAACTCAGCCTCGGATGGCAATCATGAGATACCGGCGGTGGCCCCCGCCAGAACCAAGTCAGTCGGTGACAAGAGTTATGGCTGCGCCAAATGCCGCCATAGCAAGAACGGCTGTCCTGGCCGATGTCGCAAGTTGGCCCAGACAGGCAGCGATGGTTACTACTTGGACGAGGACGGCTTTGTGAGGCATGCTGGTAACTACTTGGACAAGGAAGGCTTTGTGAGGCATGCCGAGTGAGATGCTGATGAAGTTAATCTTCCGGCTGCTGAGTTTTGGTTTGAAAGCTGTGCTGCTGCTGTGACAGATGCAGATTCCGAGCACAGAATAATTTTGGTGGAGCAGCTAAACGACTGTGACATCAGTTTCATCGTGAGGCTCAGAATGGAGAGTTGAAAGGTTGGAACAGTTGACGCCATGTGCCACGCATGCCTTCGAATCTGATGTGGAATGCATGCTCTCACTTCTATATTGTATGTCAGACCTTGATTCAGAGAAAGAGGGCTGCTTGCTTGAAGTTACTTGGGTCCCGCTGCCAGGACAAGCACGAGTCGCCATCTCCCTTGTTAGTCTTGTCCGTGTCATTGCTCCGCATGAAGCGCCCCGCTGCTTCAGATTCAATGCCGGCCAGTTCGGGAAACGTGGCTAAGAAGCGGGCTGTGCAGTCCACCGTGACCACGAAGCCGGCTAGCGCGATGGCAGCTTCGACGAAGGAAGTTCATTCGACGCCGGCGGCGATGAAGTCCAAGACCAGCGGTGCCAAGAAGCGAATCATTTACTGCAGTGACTGCAGTGGGCTGGACGGTGCTGCCTTGGCTCTCCGGAGCCTGGGCGTGCCAATGCAGCATCTCTTCGGGTCGGAGAAGAACCCGAGTTACCGGAAAGTTTTGCAGGCTTTCCATCCAGACATAGAGCATGTCTTCGAGGACTTGAGCAAGAGATCCACCGAAGACCTCAAGAATGTGGTTCCCAAGGCAAGTGGCGGTCAGACTCGCATGGTTTATACGGCCGGCTGGCCGTGCCAGCCCTTTTCCAAGGCTGGAAAGCGGGGAGGTGAGGCTGATGATCGAAGCGATTTGGTGTGGAGGGTTCTCCTGACCATAGACACTCTAACCCCCGACCTGGTTATCCTGGAGAACACCGCCAATCTGACAAATGTCAAGTTCAAGCCCCACTTCGAGGAGGTCTTGCGGCTCTTCAGGGCGTTGCAGCGGGAGAAGTACGAGGTTCACTGGGAGATTCTCAACTCCAGGACGATTGGGCAGGTGCCATCAACGCGGGAACGTGTCTGTGTGGTTGGGGTTCGGAAGGACAGGAAGAAGTTGCCGTGGACGTGGCCGAGTCCTTTGCCATCCTTCGGCCTCAACTCCATCCTGGAGCCGGATGGCGTTTACCCCAAGGTTGACATGAAAGTCCTGCCCCACACGGCACTTCGCAACATCATCAGCGTGACTTAGCTCACTTATTCGCCAGTGCAGTATTTTCAATGTGCCCTGAGTCAGTGTGCCTGTCTATGCAATGTTCAATGAACTCAGGCCATGGAGAAAATCACAAAAAGCAAGCCAGTGGGAGAAGGCCCGGTGGCAAAGCAGCCCTTCGTCATTGACATCGCATGCAGCGCTGCCTGGTCAAACTTCTCGTACGACGGGGTCCCAGTCGTGACCAAGAGTCATGCCGGCAGCTTGTGGCTGCTGCACAAGCAGCGGTGCTTGGGGGTGACTGAAGTGTTGCGTGCTCAGGGCATAGATGCTCGCAAGCTTGGGTTGACCCTTCCCGTTCCAGGGGTCTCGGACAAAATCATCATGGAGATGGCGGGCAATGCCTTCACTGCCACTGTCTTTGAAAGGCTGTTCAGAGCCTTGCTTCCAGTTATCGGCGTGAAGGTGTGAGATCAAGCTGCCTGACCAGCTAATTTTGTACTTGCCGATTGCATCCATTTGTGCAACGGGTGCTGCCTTGAAGTTTGGCGTGCGCTCCTGATGTGAAGGTAGGAAATAGGATGCTTGAAATTAGGCAAGGGAGCGGGCAGTGGCCGACGGACAGGGAAACATGATTGAGAACACCGTTTGCCTTTGAAGGGAGTTTCCTGATATGACTCCGATGCAGTCCGTGTTGCGCAGCACGGTCAGTCATTGTTACTTTGTCATTGTTGCTTGGGTCCAGGACGAGTCCAGGACTCGTCGTCGTCAGTGACTCTTTAGAGCCTTGCTGCGTGAGATCCCTGTGCCGCTCCACACCATGGCCAAGCGCAAGGACCAGCCTGAAGCAGCAGAGGCGGCCCCGAAAAAGGCTGCCAAAGCAAAGGCTACTCCGGCTACTAAGGCGAAAGCCAAGGCTGTCACCGTGGCAGTGGCTCCGGCAGCGAGCAGTCCCAATGGCCCAATGCGATGCTCAGGTTTTGGCCCATCCGACCTTCCAGGCCATCCAGAAGGAGCTCCCGTCCTCCGGCTGTGGCGTGCTCGAGTACGACCCAAAGGTCGCAGAGGAGCGCTTGTCCAAGTCCCAGGATTACGTGGCAGCGGCGCCGTTGCACTGGTTGAACCTCAACTGGGAGGTTCAGCCCAACCTGCCGAAGTACAAGTCCCGCATCGACGAGCTGCAACGCCACTTTTTCGAGAGACCTTCCTACTTGAAGACCGAAGTGCGCGTCGTTTTGCAAGACAGCTCCTGCAGGCCTCACAAGATGGTGGGCTCACTGCTTGCGTATGACCCGCCAGAGCTTCGTGACAGCCTGCGTCAGGCTGTCGCTGACGCAGTCGCCAAAGGCGATGACGCGACGCTTGATGCATGGAGGGACGTTCTTTTGTCGGTGCCGATGCGGTTCACCGTTGTGGAGGCCGACCAGGAGCACAAGATCCGCCTCATGATGCAGACGCTCGTGCAGGAGAGGGAGGACATCGGCGTCTTGTTTGACAACCTGCGAGTGAGTGCCCTGATGCGGACTTTCGAAGTCCTTGACATGAAGGGCCAGCTGGAGAAGGACGGCGGAGAGCGTCAGACCAACAAAACGCTCGCTGCCCACTACCAGTCGCTGAAGTATTGCAAGAGGAGTGAGAAAGTGAGCGCAACGTTCGTTGAAGTGAGCCTGAGCTTACACAAGAACTGTCTGTGTTACGACAGGGTTCGGAACGTGTGCTTGAAGTTTGATGAACTCGGCCTGGACAATCCTCTCGATTCCGTGCATAAGCTCCGCGAGATCATGATCAAGTGCGACAAATCTCGGGCTAACATGGAATGGGCCTTCAGCATGACATGGGACTGGTTCCACGTCGCAGGTGGCATGCCAGGCGATGGTCATGCTTCAAGAGGGTGATTAACTTGGGTCATAAGTCAGTCCACTACCCTTTAAACCCTAAACCCTGTACTACTAGCCTCTTCAAAGCTCAAAACAAATTGCCCTAGGTTTATCTAGCAAAATTCGGGTTTCAAGATGCTTCCGTAGTAAAATACAGGTTTCAGTGCTTCGTGACAAAATTAATCGGTTCTCGTAGGAAAATTCGGGCAATAGTAGTAAAATTCGGGTTTCAATGGGTTTATCAATAGGTTTCCGTAGGAAAATACAGGTTTCAACAGGTTTTCGTTAGAAATTCGGGTTTCAGAAGGTTTCTCAGGTTTTCGTAAATATGTGTCTTCTAACTAAAGCAGGGGGGCCCTCCAGGGGTCAAAACATCTAGCTTGTACGCCTAGTCCCTGAAAGCTCCAAACATCTGTCTTGTAAAGCAGGGCCCCTCCTGGGGTCAAATCGTTTTCCTATCCCTTCAATAATAAGCTCGAAACATTTGTCTTTGAATAGCAGGGCCCCTCCAGGAGTGAAAACATCTAGCTTGTACGCCTGGCCTCTTAGAAGCTGCTCGACCAGAGCTGCTGAACGCTATTAAACCAACCCTCGTCAATGTCAACCCCTAAACCTACAAACCCTCATCTGATTCTGAGAGGCAAGACGAAGAAGGACGCTGGCGATGCCATCCCGCTGAGCATCCTGGAAGGAACCACGGCCAACTGGGGCGGGAAATCGCTGGTGAATTTGTTTCTGTTCAAGAGACAGATCCGAGATGCGCTTTGGAAGAAGTTGGAGGGCTACTCGTGGTCAACAGCTGTCAAAGAGCGCATCAGGCAGCTGACGATCGATGTGGAGACTTGCCGAGAGAATCTCGGCGCGATCGATGTGGAGGTGATTGGCTTCCAGGAGCGGAGCAGCTGGCCGGAGTCGGCTGATGCCCTGCTGTTGGCGATTGAGTCGTTGGTGTATGGATACAAGAAGGATGATGCCCTTGTTTCCTGCCTGAAGAACAGAAAGGGCATCGAGGACACGCTTGCCCACGCGGATGTCAAGCCCCTCGTGAATTCCATCGACACGAAGTACGCGAAAGAGCAGGGTGTACAGGACGAGGAGTCCGCGGATGAGGGCGAGGACGATGCTGAGGCAAAGGGCGGTGACGGTGCGGAGCCTGTGCCACGGTTTGCATGTTAGTTGAAAGGTAAGGGTTGAAGACCACGCACAGGATTGATTCATTTAGTGAGTTCCCTTCATTCAGTTTAATGACATAAATTGACTCAGGCACCGCCGCTTCTGGATTGCAACCGCAGTGCCGCGGAGATGTTCCTGCAGAACACGGCCAACGCAACCGACTCATCGATGCTGGAGGTTCGTGCCAAGATCGAGACGGGCATGAAACAGGCCGAACGCCGAGTAAAGGGACTTTGCAAACTTATCCACGAGAAGGAGAACAGCGGAGACATCGAGGCTGACATGAAGGATGCGGCTGCTCTCACGACTGCAGGAGTTCCCAAGAAGTATGCGGTGACCGTTGTGGACGCAAAGCTGCTTTGCGAGAATGGCAGATATCGTTTACCTCCCACACGACAGTTCCAGTTGACGAGGCTTTTCGAAGCCGTCTAAGGTGCGAAGGGCTCTATGTGGACTGAGGGGGATTGCATCTTGGGGATCGATGGAGGAAAATCCGACTTTGAAGAGAAGTTCCTCAAAGCCATTCCGGACTCCAAGTCCATGCACATCACCAAGCAGTACATCACGTACACGTCAGAGTCGCTGGAGGCCAGTTGACTCAGTTTCAATGTTTTATGTTCTTGAACTTGAGGTCTTAGTCTTATCTAGTCAGAAGCACCGCTGACAGGACAGGATGCAGCGCAACAGCAACGGACAGCTGTCTCAGATCGAGACTGTCTACATGGTTACGAGCTCGCCGCTTAGCCTGCAGAACCGCCGGGCCAGAAGGTTCGCGGCAATGTGATAGGGCCCCTCGCTGCCGCCTCGTGGAATGACGCCTCCCAAACTTGGCAATTAAAGCTGGGTGACAAGAAGAAGGTGCTGGGCTCGGCGAACTTTACTGTGTCCGATGCAGACAACGATGGGCAAAAGCCGAAGGCCAGTGATGTCCAGCCGGCTTTCTTTTTCGAGTCGCCGGAAGCGGCGGCTATGGAGCTGTTGCACAGCCTTGCAGCCACCAGCGTGGTGGACTTGTCTTGTGGGTCCGGCCGTATCCCCTTCCTCGGAGTTTGCCTTACCAGCGCCCACGCGCAGGCGCTGAGCCAAAGGCTGACATCACGAGTGTTGACTCTCATGACGGATGCCAATGAGAAGAGTCTCTACGATGCGGGTCTTGCCGCGTCCATGCAGCAGGCAGCGAAGGAGAAGGGTGATGAGTCTTTGCAGCCTGCGAAGGGCAATCAGAAGACTGCCAAGGCCAAAGCCAAGCCGAAAGCAGCTGCAGCTGCAGAGACTGAGACGGGGGATGATCAGGGTGAGCAGTCCAGCTCACGAGCGGATCTTCTGAGCAAGATCGGCGCGCTTACGGGCGCAGCCTGAGGAGTCACAGACTGAAGGGCCACCTTCCCTTGGGATCCAGGTCTAAAGGACAGGTGTAACTGTTACCCCCACCTAACATGGAGGACCCCCAGACCACACCCAGCAACTGTATGTTCAAGGGATCGTGGCACATTCGAAGTTTTGAAAAGCACGTGCTGATCTTGGAAAGTCTTAGCGTGTGCGATTGGCATCGACTAGGACCGCGACTGGCCTGGCGGCGTGTATGTCTCCCTGCTGTTACACATATTTAATTAGAGTCTTAACTTAGAGTTCTCGGTTTCAGGGTTTAGGGTTTATAAGGTTGTATTTCGAGTTTTACTGAACAAACAATCCATGTAGGGAGCAATGTGTGAGCGCGAGGGCAGACAGACTTTGCTAGCCTCGTTTTGCTTTCAGCCGACAGCCGACAAGTCCGGCGCAAGGCTCCAACATTGACCCAGCGATGATGCGGCAGGAAATCGAGTTCTCATGTGTGCCGTTCGAGGTTGTCATGTCCGTCCAGCGCAATTTTGCACTGCTGTCATAATGGAGACTGAGACCGTCTAAGTCTAAAGCAGCATCGCGCGACAACGAGGCCTCCGGTGATGTGGGCGCCATCCCTGCCGCAAGGCCCGCCACGGCAAGCTCCCCAAATAATAATGGTCGTGGCCGAGTCTAGGCTTTAACTGATGGCATTGGACTTAGTGCATGTGTAGGGCAGCGTGTCATGCCAAGTGCAACCTCTGACAATTGCAAGCAAACAAGTGCCACTTCACCGCGGCTTAGGTTAAAAAGTCATGCAAGTCGGGTAATAGGATTTCCAGTGTAGGGTTTGTGGCTGTGCGGGCTAGCTAGCAGTGTCAATCTGTCAATTTAATAGTATTAAGCTTTTGTTCGAACCGACGCTTAAGCATTGGTTTGCCACAAACCATTGGTAAAGCTACGTACCTGTCGAACAAACCTGATTGCGCTTCATTGGTAAAGCACACGAGCCAAATAATGAAGGACGATCATCGTCCTTCATTATATTGGCTCTGATGTTCAGAGCCTATTTAATTCTACGAAACCGTAGAAGTCCATAAACACTATATACTCCAAGTGAAGCCGTACACTCAGAATTGAATCCCGTGACCTCAGCAGTGGCCACCACTGGCAGCCGCCAGCAGGTGCGAGGATACCTCAGAAAGTGCCACACACAGCTTGGGGCTCAGATCCGTCCATTGAAGTTGAAGGTGAACTCAGGGTGCTGCACTGGTCACATTCTTGAACGATCACTAGTCGCTTCATATGATATAAGGTTTTCAGATTCAACGGCTACTACAAGGTGATTGTTGGAAGTATTGCAATGGTAGGTGCTGCTGACAAAGTTTCGGCCCAAATCATTCATATGAGAAAGCATTGTATATAAACCCTGAACAAGGCAGTCCTAATCTAAAGGCTTTGGGACGTTAGCGCTGTTCGGGTCTCCAGGTTCGCAGATTCCGGGTTTGGGATTTAGGGTTCAAAGATTTTTGGGCTCTGTTTTATAGCATCGGGTTAAGGTTGTCAAAATGCGCGAAGGATCTTGTCAATCGAAGTCTAGTACTTGGATTACTATTCAAATTAAATTAATATTTGCTTGGAACTCAGCTGACGAATGCCGACTCTGAGGGACACGCCAGGCGGCTTGCAAATGGATGCTCGACCTGGCCAAGGGGGATTCTCGAAGCCCACAACCTCTCAATTTAAAGCTGAGCCCCTTCCTAGCGTTCTTTGTTCGACCGTCTACCCTGAACCTTCAGTCCCGAAGACCACTCTATCCCATGGGGGCCAGGCTTGAGGCTTGGGGAACTGATAACATGCGCTTGAAGCTGCACTGTGAGGATGACAGGAATGCTTCACTAGCCCCTTCTATGCTGATGGTGCAGTCGGGGAATACAACGCACCTTTTTTTCATTCCCGATCCCGCCGAACGAGGTCTTCAAGGGTGGACTCGTTCTCCACGAAGATCATGGGCCGGGAGGCACGCGCCAGCTCCAGCTGTCTCTTGTGCTCAGCCCGAGCCTGCGCGGCCTCCCGGCGCCTCCTCCGCGCCTCCTCCTTCTTTTCCTCCTCCCTCACCCTCCTCCTCTCCTCCTCCAATTCCTTTTTCCTTTTCTTCTCCTCTTTCTTCTTCCTCCTCAGGCGACGCCGTCTGGCACTGGAGGAGCTGCTGCTCTGTCCCGGCCCAGGCCCCTCGTGATCCTTAGATTTTAGATGCGATCGGGCTTGTTGTTGGTTTTCGGCTGAAGACATTTAAGTCTCTAGGGCAAAACCGGTTGTAGCAGAAACTATGCCAAGAAATGAACCTAGACACGGATGACGCATCGTCATTGTCCGCGCCACCAGTGGGGGATGTCGGGACACCAATATCGCCAGCATCATGTGGCACAGGCCCTGCGGCCTCGGAAGCTGGCAGAGGACCCTCAGCCTTGGAGGCTGTGGGGATGTTGGGTTCAGGGTTTAAAATATTTAGGGTTTCGCATAAATATTCCAAACATGCCAGGATAAGAGTTAACCCGAGACACGGCGGGTGATCCACTCCCATTGCCACCGTCACCATCTAACGGAGGCGCCTCAGCCTTGGAGGCTATGGGGCTGTGTTGGGTTTGGGGCTTAGGGTTTCACACAAATATTGAAACCATGCCAGGATAAGAGTGAAGTCTAGACACCTGGGATGCCTCCTGGCCATCATCTGGCAACTCACCAGCTGGTCCGTCCTCAGCTGCCAAAGGGATTTGTGGCTTTGGATTGGGTGTAGATTCCGATTTCGGTTCCTGGTTGAATAGTTCAGGACACATATCAATTATCCTCCGACATTGACATTGACGAAAGGTCAATCCTAAACCCGAATCCCCGAATTCAATAATAGTCCGTGGACGTTAAGGTCAAGAGAACCATGGTATCCATTTGGGCCTTGGTGCTGCCAGGCCTTGCACAGCCACTCCAGCTCCAGCGACAGCAGCTGGGCCAGCTGAACCAGAAGCACCCGACGGCCCAGATGAAGCCGATGCCACCTGCCCGAAAGTACTTTTCAGATTGAAACCTTAACAGCCGTGAAACCCCAAACCAGGCCAAACCGTGAACCCTTATTTATACCCTGGCTTGAACCCACAATTAAAATTCAAGCTGGATAGAGAAGCCTCTGCCGGCGGCGTCGAAGGCGACGCGACTTCAGTCGGAACAACCTCCTCAGCCTCAACCCCAAAGCTCCGGAAGCCAGGCGGGAACTTCGGCGTCGGCCGCAGCAGCACCGCCTTGGCCTTTGCCTTGGAACTTGATTTATGATTAAATTAGGGAGAGGATTTATTTGAGCAAGGGTCCAAAAGAACATTGTACTTAATCGAGTGGCAGCCACCACAGGCTCAGGAGCCTTAGGCTTCACCATCCGAAGCCAGGTGTCGCGAGCCGCCTGCACGGGAAGAAATAAACCCCGTGTTACCGCGGACCCGGGACCCTAAACCCCTCAACCCCAAGCTTTAAGGTTTAATTTGATTTACGAATCAAATTAAACCTGTGCTATCAAATTGCACCGACCTTGGGCTTCGGCTTCGGAGGCTGCCGTCCCGGCTGAACGAAGCCAAATGGGAGAACTCGCGGAGGCACATACTCTGCCCTCTTCGGCTTCGGTGCCCATGGAAACCAGGCTTTGGGCAGCTTGCCCACGGGGTACGGCCCACTGAAGAAAGGAGTGGCCTCAGATACGGTTTAGGAAATAGGGTTTAGGGTTCAGGGTAAAAACCCCTTGTTGCAGTCCTTCCACTTATCTTAATCGTTGTCATTATGTACGATAAGGGCTAAGGGCACAAAGCCAATGCATCCCGGGCTCGGGCTCCATGGGCCTCGGCCCCACCGACTTCGCCTTCTTCGGCACAGGAGGTTCAGGAATCTCATCGTCATCGCCAGAGTCTGCCATGGCCACTGTCTGCGAGGCTTAAGGAGGTTTCAAGTTCTGAAGTTGAAGAATTGCATAGCGCTTGCTGCCTAGTGGCGCCTAGTGCCGCCTTGCTAAGATGCGTCTACTAAAAGGTAGTACGTCAGTGGCTGGGTGCTGAAGTCACGAGGTGAACCATGCCATGATCACTGCCCTGTTGGTGTTGTATTGCTGCCCTGCAGCCCTTCCCCGGATCATTGAGACTCAGGACATGCAACACCGACTGAGAACCCATGTTACAAGTCACCATAATGGGCATTGGACCTTAGAGCCGAAGAACCGCAGTTGGTGGTATTGTGGAAGTAATGATTATTTAGCTTTGATATCGCACCCTTAGCCGCAATTTCTAAACCGTGCCTGTGAACCCTTGATCTGTTCAACCCCTGTCCCCGGAAGAACCCTCGAGCTTACTAATAGTAACCAGATTCAATCAAATCTGCCACCCCTAATCCCGACAGCCCGAAACCCTGTTTGAATGCCTGAAGCCGGGGCCCTCGACTCTACAAACCCATTTTCACTTAAGTCGCAGGCCAAGACATGAAGACCTGTAATCTGAAGTGTCTTCAACCTTCATTTAGTGAACCCGTTCACGTTTGGAAACACGGGGAGCGGGGGTTTTCACGTCGGGGCTTAGAGTATAGGGGAAAGGTCTCGGGTGTCCAGCTTCATGTTGGGGTGTAAGGTCCCGCGACTGAAGCCTTCGCTGGTTCTGCTGAACCCACAACGCAACGACACATGGACCCCTGAAGTTGTCGTCTCTGGCCTTCAGAGGCAGCTGCAAGCGAAAGCCCTCGGCGCCGAAGCCGCAGATCTGCCGGGCAGAGTTCAGGCTGGGTATTGACACGAACACGACACTTGACATTGATTGTGGCCTTACCACTTCTAGATTCTAGAGCACAACACTGACACCATTGTGATCAGATTACTCCAGTCCTGTAGCAGAACAGAGGACTGCAGCCACAAGGATTAAGATGCTGCTGCCGCGACAATGGGGACAATGGGTAGCAGTAAGTCGTTAGTAGTTACACTATCAGTTAGTACCTAGCTAGGTGGTGGTGTCGTCGTCGTGCTGCTGCTGGTCATCCTGGCCGCTGTTGTTCTTATTGTTGTCTTTGTTGTCATTGTGAGTGCGCAGTAGGAGCAGTAGCAGCAGACGTTCAGGAGTTCAGGCTTTACATTGCATGCTTATGTTTTTGGGCTTTTGGGGTTTCGGGCTTCACGCCAATCAGTTTAATGGCCCCCAACTGGGAGCCATTAAACAGGTTTAATGACCGCTAGCTAGCGGGCATTAAACAAGCCTGCTAACCCAGGTTCAATGGTCATCAGCTGACAGCCATTGAACGAACCAAAACCCTGAAATCCTTACGTATAAAGCCCAGGTTCAATGACCGTCAGCCGACAGGCATTGAACGAACCGACACCCTGCAACCTTAGATGGAATCGATAAGCTGGTAGGAGTGAAGTGCAACATGCCTGTTGCAGCCCCTGCCCCACAAGATACCCATCTTCGAACAGTGATCGTGTAACCTATGAGCACAAAGATTGTCATTACCATGGAACAAGCGATTATGACCCGAAAACTTGGAAGTTCAATGCCTGGCAGCCCCGGCTCAAACGAGCAAGCACTGGCTTAGCCAACAACCACAGATTGAACCTCCCAACAACGAGACCTGTCACCCGAACTTCAAAGTTGCCTGGACCGGAAGCGGAGGTGAAGCAGAGCGGATCAAACGGAAGAGCCTACAGTGTATAGGCGCCACCGGCGGGTTTGGTGTTTTTCAGGGTGCAGGTCTCAGGGTTCAGGACTTCATGCCGATAAGTCGTTTAATGGCCACCAATTAGTCGCCATTAAACAAGGGGTCTAAGGGTAGGCGGTTTAATGGCCCCTAAGTGGGAGCCATTAAACAGGTTTAATGACTGCCGGCTGGCAGGCATTAAACAGCCCTAGTAGTGAAGCGCAGGGGACGGCTTCGGGAAGGAGCTCAGGTCGAAGGTTGCCTGCAGGGAATGGAAGCTTAAGCCGATAGGTAGGGGAGCATGCTGACTGCGAAGCCGCTAACCGTGAATTTAATGACCGCCATCCTGGCAGCCATTAATCCCAAAACCCCAAAACCCTGAATTCTCCAGCCTCTGCTGGATCAGGATTGATGCCTCGTCGCATTCGATTCAGGTTGGAGAATGCAGAAAGGGGTCGAGACCATAGTGTAATGGCTGCCGAACTTCACTGCGTTGCTGCATTCCACAGCCTGCTGTCCGGGGTCCGGGGTCCAGATTTTTAGGAACTACACAGTTGACTTTGTATGGGTTTATCTTCTGTCTTGTGCGTCGGGTTGTGCCCACATGTGGTGCCAGCCGGCTAAAGCCCAATCCATACCTTCTGATAGATCAATCCATCTGTCCTCTCTCTCTCTCTCTGTGATCACTCACTCACACACTGACTCACTCATGCTCAACAGACACAGGCGCCACCGCTACCACCGCCATCGAAGACGCATATTTGGTTAAAGCTGCGCACCCTCAGTGGTAGGACCCCTGCAACTTGACAAGCGACCCTTCCCTTGGGCTGTAGGGCTTAAGGGTGTGTGGTTTAATGGCCCTCAATTAGGAGCCATTAAACAGGTTTAATGACTGCCAGCTGGCAGACATTAAACAGCCCTAGTGCACAGTAGGGTTCCAGGGTGTGTGGTTTAATTATGGCCCCCATTAAACAGCCCTACTAGCCCGGGTTCAATGGCTGTCAGCCGACAACCATTGAACGAACCCTAAACCTAGACCCTGAAACCCTCCCCTGAAGGTTGGCCTCCACAGAGTGGACGTTGAACGAGAGGATGATAGTCAGCTGTCGGTCACTGTGCCACTAAGACTACGACTAGGCAACCAACGTTTAATGACCGCCAGCAGGCAGCCATTAAACAGCTCAAAGATTGGATTTAATACTTGCCAGGTGGCAAGCATTAAATTGTAGTTTAATAGCCATCGATGGACAGCCATTAAACAGCTAGCCGAAACCCCTAAAACCCAAGGGCTCGGGCTTGGGGCTTTTGAGGCTTGGAAGGTTTATTGTTCAGGGATGCGAGGGCTTTAATGTGGATTGAAGATACTATCACCTAAGCTTCCATTCTTCAAAGGTGTTCACTTGGGGTTGGGGTTCGGCTTGAATTTGAGGATGCCTGCTGCTCAGGGAACAACCCAGAAAGCTCTTATGTGAGGTTTGGTTTGGGGCTGCTTGGCAATGGCAACAAACCAAAAGCCCGAAGACCAAGAAACCAATGTTACTAAGGTTATTTACGTGTAACATATGTGTGTATACATATAATATGGATATCATACTGTATGCATATTTGTACAGTTGCTACAAGGCAATGTTTACGTATGATTGTCTTTGTGTCTAAGTTACTTATATGCACACACAAAACGCCAGTCAAAGAGTGGAAAAATAGAGACTAGAAAAAAACTTCATACTTGCAAAATTTCGCGGAAAAAAAGCATGCTTTTCTGTATACGGAAACATCCATGCTGCCGAAAATTGTTTGACATCCTCTGCTCGAAACAAACCGTTTCTTGCCTATTTTTGGACAAAGATACCGGTATCAAAAACCATTGTTTGCTTAAGCTTTTTTGCTTGTTCCCTGTTGTGTTTTCGAACTCCTGAAACGGATCTTTCGGACCCTTCCTAAGCAAACCCAAGATGCGAGCAGCAGCGGTCGCCGCCCGCGCTTGCAGCACAGGGGGCGTGTCGCACCAGAACGGCCAGTGTGCTGCATGCCGGTCCGCTGCTGCTGAACGCAAGCCCCGGCATACGAACCTGCTGGGGAACTGGGCAGCCTCTGCCCTGGTCCACCCCGGTGAGCTCTCCACCGACAGGCATGCACTGGCTGCAAACCATTTTCACTGAGGAGACCGTTGTGGAGCTTGAGGATTCAACGCACCACCTTATGCACCCATGCCAGCACACATTCCATCATGTGCAGCTGCGAGCCGCCGGAGAACCCTTTCCTCACTGTCCTCCCGCAGCGCCAGGCGTGGCGCCGCACCAAGACCCTCCGCAATGACGACTGCCTTGCACAAACTCACTGGGTGTGGACGTGCTGCGGCGACTCGTCGGCAAAATGCTTGCGCAGTTGTTCGCCGTAGCCTTTTTGGCTCAAGCCAAGGCGCGGCGCAAGCTTGGGTTGTTACTGCGTGATTGCCGCCATAGGCGTCGCTGGCGTGTCGGTGCAGTGATCTCTTTTTCACTGCACGCCGGTGCGATGACATCGATGACGCCAGAAAGGAGGGTGAGGAAGAGAGAACAAACAAAATCGCCTTTGAATGAGCTCGACGTTGAGCTCTAGCCGTCGCCCGGTGAAAACGTGGGCCTTTCTGCCGGGGCCACTGCCGAAATCGTGCGTCATGAGATTCGGATGGGCATTTCTCCTCTGGAGGCTAGGCTGTCGAGCATGGAGACAGTGCGTGGCAACCGGGTGGACAACGTCGACCAACAGTTGAAAAATCATGGTGACCGAATCGAGAAGATGGAGGAGCTGCTGGCGTCCAAGGATGCTACACCGCGTTCGCGCACATCGGAGCACAGTCTTGCCGTCGAAAGGCAGATTGCAGATTTGCAACTGCAAACTGATGGTTTGCGCGTTTCCCCCAACACCGACAAGCCCGAGCCAGCGAAAGTCATGGTCGTGGGTGGCCTCGCAGCATTACAGGATGTGCAGTCAGCAACAACAGGGTGACGAACACGTTGGTATCCATGCGGGGTCCGAGCATCATCAGCACGTATGTCAAGTCGGAAAAGTTCCAAGGCTTGCTCTTTGTGAAGTTTGCTTCCGTCGTAGATCGTGACACAGCAGTTGCTTTGCTACGCAGTGGCTCTTTGAAGATTGGCGACTCGGCGGTTTGGGCCACGCAAGATCTACCCATGCCTGTGCGTGCTCGAAAACTTTTCCTTATGGGTTTGAGCTGGCAGCTTGCTCAGTGGGGCTTTTGGAAACAAGAGATTCACATCAATGACGATTTCACTTGCATGCACATCGGAACAAAGCTTGTCATCAAGATTGCCAATGGCGAGGGTCGCTTGATCTTTAATTGGGCCGATGATTGGGCTCAGTGGGCGGAGTGGCAGCAAAGTGAAGAGCTTGGACAGCTCATTGCGCGATCGCAATCCATCCTGCAAAAGCACATGGGGAAGGGACTAGGCAAGTCGAAAAGCAAATCCTCCCCGCATTAGGGGTCACGACACATGGGCATGGATACAGTTTCACATTTAGGATGTGCAAGCGCAGCTGGTGACGAAGGTCACCGCTTAAATTCACCTGATGGATTTCGAGTTGCTTCGCGGAATCTGGTGGTGGGCACATGGAACGTTGAGGGGCTCACCGATACTAAAATTTGTGGAGTTGCAGTTTTACATCCACCGACTTCGGATTGGGATTCTTTGTTTGCAATATGCTCATCGAACCGAGTCCACATATGAGGTCACTGACGATGGTTTCTTGCTGATTTTATCGGGTGTTGCAGCGGACGAGCCTGCTACCACAGCTGGTGTGGGCTTTCTTATTGCACCAGTTTGCCGTAGATGCGTGGTCAGTTTCTGCCAACAGTCTTCCCGCATGACGTCGTTGAAGATTCGGGTTTCTGGGGGAAAGGCTACCATCTGCAGTATTTACGCACCGCACAGCGGCCGTCCACGAGATGATCGCCGGGCATTCTTTCAACAGGTGGCGCACTGGTTGTTATCACGTTCTTGTCATGGCCCTTTGCTTGTTTTCGGGGATTGCAAGCCACGTTTGCACGCCAAGTTAACTTTTTTTTCCGGACCCACATTTTTTTGGTTCAAAAATATTCGGAGACGATCGAGCGCATTTTGATCCCGATTCGAAGAGGAGCTTGTTATCAGAGATTTGCGAATGGCGAATGTTGCCGATTGCTAGTTGGAAATACTTGTTTCCCACTGCCAACAGACAAACAGGTCACTTATTGCAATGTTGGTGCACAGCCTTCGAGTGCAATTATTCCGGCGAACTTTGGACAGCTTGATTTTTGTTGGTGCAGCATGACTGGTTCGAATGTGTCTCGCAGCTGTATTCACGCATGGACGTACCACTGGCATCACATCATTTCCTTGTGATTGCCGAGCTGAAAATACAAGTGCCCAAAAGAAGCACCCAAACTGTTGTCAAAACTATCAATACTTCGGCTTTGCACATTGACACGTTATTTTGCAGCATTGGTTGAGGACTCCCTTGACAGTTGTGCCAATGAACACCACAACAAGCTTTGCGCAAACGATCTTTGTTCTCATATCACGAACAGCATGCGTGTTGCGGCTGACAATTGCTTGAGCCTACGTGGTAGTGAGGCTAAACGCCCGTGGATCAGCGACGATACATTGGCCTTACTTGCTAGAAGATCCTTCAATGTTGAGTTAAAAGCAGTTGACTTCTGAAATCAAGGCGTCTGTCCGTCGTGATCGTCGTGTTTGGTTGGAAAACTTCTTGCGCACAGGTGACTGGGAACAAATCCGCAAATTGCGCAAAGGCTCCCGCCGTAAGCACGGTTGTTTACGCGATGAGGATGGTTCGTTGAAGGATTCGCATGAAAGGGCCGATACATTCACCACCTTTTTGGAGACGGTGCAATGGTCCAAGCGACCTGTTAATACTACCGTTTCTGACGTTGTGATGGGCGCAACATTGCCTGTCTCATGTGAGGACATTGGAGTTGAAGAGGTGGTTGAGGCTGCACGTAACCTCAAACATGGAAAGTCTGCTGGCCCTGACGGCCTGCCTCCTGAGTTTTGGGAAAGCATTTGCAAACCAGGTTCTCGCGCATGCTTTTGGGCAGTAGCACTGTGCAACAAAGTTTGACATTTCGCAGATGTTCCGGAGCCTTGGCATGAAGCATTGGCCACTGCAATTTTTAAGAAGGGTGATGCTAGTCAGTGCGAGAATTATCGACCAATCTCATTACTGTCCGTTGGCTATAAGCTTTTTTCTTCGGTTTTACTTCGTCGCTTGAAATCAGCTGGGGCAAAATCGAGAATCTGGCATACACAGTTTGGATTCCGCTTCCAGAGCGGCACAGTTGACGCAATATTTGTTGCCCGACGTTTACTGGAACAGACACTGGCACACAAGGACGACCAACTGGTGTTCTTAGCTTTGGATTGGTCATCAGCCTTCGATAGCGTGGATCCTCACCGGCTTTCCCATGCTTTGTTCCGATTCGGTGTGCCACAAAATTCTGAGATGTGGTACGTGCGATTTACAGCGACAGACAGTTCATAGTTCATGATTGCGGGCGAGACTCTTCAATGTGAAAGCAGCCTTTTGGGATTTCTCAAGGATGTCCACGGTCCCCATTCCTGTTCTCAATGATATGATGACCGTACTGCTGTTCGATGCTTCGGCCGACTTGCGTTTGCGTATGCCGCGTTCTGAATCGGATTTGGCAATCGATGAGCTTGTGTATGCAGACGACACCGTTGTTATAGCTTTTTTTTCAGCATCCCGGGCTGCAACTTACATGGATTGCATTGCTGAAGCTGGCGGGGATTATGGGCTGTGTTTCAGCTGGCGCAAAGTCGAAGCCATGCAGCGATACGTCTTTGATTTACTTGGGTAATCTATTGGGTATATCTGGGGGGAACTAAATCGTCGGCTTGGTTCGGCCAGGGCCGATTTTCAAGCTCTCAACCAAATGGAAACATGCTAGCATTCCGCAAAATCAGCATTTTCGATGCGTGCATTGGCTCGCAGTTGCTATGCTGACTGCACACAGCTTGGCTGAACAAAGCATTTCTTCGACAACTTGATGGCTTTCAGGCTCGATGTCTACGCAAGATTTTTGGGATCCCGCACTCTTTTCTCAGCCACGTGTCCAATGTGGAGGTTCTGCAACAAGCTGTGGCCAAACCATATTCCAAAATTTTGATGTACAGCAGCAGCACGTTCCAATGTTGCACTTGGAATTCAAAATGGAGGTTGAACTAAGTGTTCGAACCAGAAGTTGGAGACACTGTGTGTTTGAACTCAAAGTTCAGGGCCTTGAATACTGTGTTTCGGGTTTGACTCCAAGCCAAGATTGCTGCTTCCTTCCTGGGACGTCATGCGAACATGTGTTTGTGAGAAGGGTTCGAATCAGCTCCAACATCATACGAAACCGAGATGTCGAGGCCGTCCCAAACAGGTGTGGACGTCCTGAGTGTCAATTGGCTATGTAGGTGGCAGAACAGGAAATTTTCAATCTTTTTGCTTCGAAAACGAATTTGTTCCTTATGTGTACACGAGGCGTTGACTGACTGACTGACAGTTGTTCGCTGACCAACTTCCAGAAAACTTGCTTGCACCGAAGCTTTTGCTCATGTTGCTCGCACTGCCACTGGGCTCTACCTGCAAGCAACCATCCTTTCTTTGATGCTGCCGAGGCAGCACCATTTCTCACGTCAGTTTACGCAATGGTGGCCAGTGACGCATCCCTTTGGGCGTCTGCTTTGTTCAATCGGCCGCTTTGTATGGACGCATTGAGACAGCGCCGACGACGAGCGCAGTCACTGCCACTGTGTCGCGCAGTGCGCATCCGCGCCAAGAAGAGGGCGACTGGCGCAAAAGGTGGCTGTTGCACCGCCGTTTGGAGGGGACAACAGAAGACAGGGCTCGCAAAGGCAAGCAGACTGCAGAAGTGTGAAAAGTTTGCTCCTTTTAGGTGTGCCCTTGAGTACCGACATGCTTGTTTTGCGCATGAGAAAGGGTTTCATCCTTTTTGCCTTGAACTGTTTTGTTTTGGAAGCTTGAACAGGCATTTGCATGGCTAACACATGTTTTGGCATGTTTGCAGTTGCGTTGAAGACCATGATGAGCGTTTACGGCACTAGAGATGCTTTTGGGCATCCTTGAAGAAGTGCGTGTTGCTCTGATTGCACTGTTGCTGTTTTCCGCCGACCCTCGCTTCGCTCGTGCCGGTAGGAACAGGCCAAGGGACAGAGTGGCTGTGCACTGCTGTTTGAGTGAGTACAGAAGTCCTGAGAAGTGTTAGGACAGTTGCATGTCATTCCTCCTTTGTTTAGCAAAGTTGAGACGGAATTTGCTGCGCGAGACTCCGCAAGAGACCTTGCTGAACACTTCGGTGTTTGGCTCAAGCGTGGAGTGAAAAGAGACTTGCTCTGCGTTTTTCACATGGTAGCGGAGCGCTGAGTGCGTTCCTAGTAAAGCCATGGCAGACGTTCCTGTGCCGGAGACCACTGCAGAAGAAGAGTTCGAGCTTTTTGGTCCAGGACCAGCTGCGGCAGCGCATGAAGCGGCTGCTCAGCAGGGAGCGAATCCGTTTGCTCCTGTCCAAGGTCCGGCTCCTGCTCCTACGCAAGCACAGCCTTCAGAACCAGCGGCGGGTTCGCCTACTGGTGCTACTGTGCCTCCTGTGCAAAGTCCTAAGGCGTCGGCTCCACCTGTTCAGAGTCCGAAGGCTGCTGCTCCGAGTGGCAGCTCTGGTTCTGCAGGTTTTACGCCTGAGCAGATGCCTGGATTCATGATGGAATTGCTTCGTCAGCAGAGAGAGATGATGGCAATGAACCAGCAGCTCGTTGCGACGATGCTCCGGAGAATGGATCTGGAGGAAGAGAGAAGGAACAAAGCGGAAGAGAAAGTTCTTGAGGCAGCTGAAGCGGCCAAGCAGGCAGCAGAGGCAGCTAAGACTCGGGACCCCTTCCAGCCGAGCACTGCTCCCGCGAGCAGTTCTGCCGCTAGTTCGGCAGCTCCGGCAGTTCCGTCTCCCTCCGGGTACTCTGGTGCTGGAGGCCGTGCAGAGAAGTATCTGCCGAACCTTCCGGTGATAGACCATCAAGGCATGGGGAAAGGGCGCATGAAGGAGGTAGAGACTTGGCACTCCTTTATGGAGACGCTGAGTTCCTGGCTTGCCCTGCAGGAAGAAGCGTTTGTTCGGGAACTGCAGCTTTGTATCCCTGTGAAGAAGGAGATTGTGCAAGCTGACTTGAATCCCGAGACTGCCGCACGTAGCTCCAAGCTGTTCTACTACTTGACGCAGTCCCTCGCCAAGTGGGAGCGGGGAAGCGAGCTCTTGAGGTCCTGCTCGAAGAGGCAGGGGCAGAGTGCCTGCGGCTACGAGGTGATTAGAACGATTACCTCTCAGTATTCCATCGTGTCGCGGATGGAAGCTGTCTTCGTGAGAGAACAGGCTTTGAAGTTGTACCAGCACGTTGGGCATTTGAAGAGG